ACCTCCAGGGTCAGCACCTCCAGCACCTCCAGCACCAGCAGCAGCTCCAGTACCCCCAGCACCAGCAGCACCTCCAGCACCAGCAGTACCTCTAGTACCTCCAGTAGTACCTCCAGCACCTCCAGCACCAGCAGCACCTCCTGGACTAGTAGCTCCAGCACCAGCCGGACCGTACCCTCCACCACCAGGACTGCCTCGCCGAACGACCCACGCACGAATCGCCTGCGGCGAGAGCGTCTCAAGTAGAGCAGGCTGCGGTGGCTGTCCAGCTCCAGTACCTCCAGTAGTGGTAGCTATAGCACCTCCAGCACCAGAAGCACCTCTAGTACCCCCAGCTCTAGCACCTCCAGCACCAGCAGCAGCTCCAGTACCTCCAGTAGTACCTCCAGGCCTAGTAACTCCAGTATCTCCAGCTCCAGGACCTCCAGAAGGACTCGCAGCACCCCCAGAGTCAGCACCCGAAGTCTCAGCACCCCCAGAGTCAGCACCCAAAGTCTCAGTACCCCCAGGCTCAGTACCCTCAGGCTCAGTACCCTCAGTCCCAGCACCCGCAAACTCAGTGCCCTCAGTCCCTGCACCCGCAGGCTCAGTACTCTCAGTCCCAGCACCCGCAGGCTCAGTACACTCAGTCCCAGCACCCACAGGCTCAGTACGCTCAGTCTCAGCTCCAGTGTCCACTGCAGAAGGCTGCAGAGGCGGGAAACCGAGGGGGGGTAGCCAAACGAGGAGAGCGGACACCCCCAGACGTACCACCCCCAGGCCAAGCTCCAGCAGCCTCAGCTCCAGAGTCCACAGCAGCAGGCTGCGGAGGTGGCGAAGACGGCCGAGGCGGGAAACCCGGGGGGGTCTCCAAGCAAGGAGTGCGGCGAGTGGTCGCCGTGTCGTCGGCGGCGGTGTCACCCCCCTCAGATGGGTCAGAGGAGTAAGAAGAGATCTCCACTGGCTCATCCAAGGGGGGTGGGTCTACCTGAGACACACCTGAGGGAGCAGGACCCTGTGGGGGAAGGGGGTCTACCGGGGGGGGGACTGGTACCAGGAAGAGAGGCGCGAGGGGGACCGGGTGGGACGCGTGTGGGTGAAGTCGGTAGTAACAGACCGACTCGTCGAAGGTGACGTCCTGAGAGGACAGAACACGACGCGAGGCAGGGTGGTAGAACTGCTAGGGCGGGGCGTCGGTGGGGAAGCCCAGGAAGACACAGCGGAGAGTGCGAGGAGAGAGCTTGCTCGCTTTGGTATCGCGAACAAGGGAGAGCGCGCCCCAGACCCGAAACGACGACGCATCACCAGGCTGTCCCGTCCAACGGAGTGTGGGCGAGGTCTCTGGAGCAGAGACATGGGGCCAGGGGTTGAGCTGATGCGCGGCGTATCGGACCGCAAACGGCCACAGGAAATGGGGAGCAGCCGCATAGATCATAGAGGTACGAGCAACCTCCATGATCAGGCCAATGCGACGCTGAGCGATCCCATTTTGCTGCGGAGAGGCCGGAAGCGTGAACGACTGGGCGATGCCCTCATCCTGGCAGAACGTCTCAAGGACGCCAGAGGAGAACTCACCACCCCTGTCAGAGTGCAGACGCAGGACTGGGAAGTCCTGCTGAAAGCGCTCGTGCAGCTGGAGACGAGTAGCACGGATCCAGCGGATCAAAACACCACTGACGTCCGCCTTGCGACGCAAGGGGAAGACTGTGGTGTAGCGTGCGTAGTCGTCAACAACCAGCGGGAAGTAGCACTCCAGGTCCGTCCCACCGACTGGGGCCGGGCCCCACACGTCCATGTGGAGAGTCTGCAGAGGAGCAGTGGTCGGAGGAAACTCGGAGGAGTGAGGAGCAGCGCGCTGCCGCCCCTCGACGCAAGGAAGGCACGGCGGCGCAAGTGAGCGCGGGAGGGGGGGCAGGGTCCTGGGGAGGCCAGATACAAGGAGACGGGAGTGCATACCGCGTAGACGCTGCAGAGAGGGGTGACCAAGACGGTGGTGCCAGCGCTGAGTCTCGTGCGTGAGTACTCTGCACGAGCAAGACGCAACTAACTGCCTCGACGCAGACGCCCGACTCGACGCAGCCACCTGACCTGACTTAGCCACCTGTGCAGACGCAGTGGTCAGTGTGTACAGACTAGACCCAGGCTGTCGAGTGAACGTAGCCAGGTGACGGCCAGTCCGGGAGCACGTACAGATCGCCACACGCTGCCCTCCAGGAATAAAGGTATCAACCCAGACATCCTGAATGGCAGCGTTGCTCACCAAGTTTGTCGAGAACGTGGGGAGGTGGAGACCTGACAGAGAGCCGGAGGGGACTGCTGGACAAGGGAGGACCGTGGAGGCTCTCGCAACTACTGGGCCCCCAGAGGGGTCAGCCAGTGAGACTGGGACAGGTGCTGTGAGTGGTGTGACTGTGGTGCAATCACGAAAGAAGCAACGTGACGCGCCTGAGTCAAGCGTGAAAGTGTGCAAGACCTCAGCTGAGGCAGGACCTGTGGTAGGAGACGCACTAGCACCTAGAGCGTTGGCAGACTCACGGGCACCTAGAGCTGCAGCAGACTCACTAGCACCTGGAGCGGCAGCAGACTCACTAGCACCAAGAGCAGCAGTCTTAACAAAACGATAACCTCCACCACCAGGACGACCTCGCTGAATAACCCACTCACGAAGCTGCTTTGGGGTGGGGTTGTCCGGGAGAAGTAGTGCCCGCTGCTGTCCACCCCTGACCGCAGCAACTGCCGCGGAAGTGGCCATGACAGACAGTGACGGTCAGGAGTAGGTCCAGCACCTCCAGCTCGTACAGTACCAGCAGCACCTCCTGCACTCCCAACAGCACCTCCACCAGCAGCAGCAGTAGCACGAGTAGCAGCAGCAGTAGTAGTTTTTTTTTTTTTTTTTTTTTTTTTTTTTTTTTTTTTTTTTTCAGGAATTAGGGTTGCGCGCGGCCCACGGGCTGCAGGGGCGACGCGCGGCTCGGCAGGGCGGCGCGCGGGCTGCAGGGGCAGCGCCTACGGGCTGCAGGGGCGACGCGCAGCTCGGCAGGGCGGCGCGCGGCTCGGCAGGGCGGCGCCCAGGCTGCAGGGGCGACGCTCGGCTCGGCAGGGCGGCGCGCGGGCTGCAGGGGCAGCGCCCACGGGCTGCAGGGGCGACGTGCGGCTCCGCAGGGCGGCGTACGGGCTGCAGGGGCGACGCGCGGCTCTGCAGGGCGGCGTACGGGCTGCGGGGGCAGCGCCCACGGGCTGCAGGGGCAACGCGCGGCTCGGCAGGGCGGCGCGCGGGCTGCAGGGGCAGCGCCCACGGGCTGCAGGGGCGACGCGCGTCTCTGCAGGGCGGCGTACGGGCTGCAGGGGCAGCGCCCACGGGCTGCAGGGGCAACGCGCGGCTCGGCAGGGCGGCGCGCGGGCTGCAGGGGCAGCTCCCACGGGCTGCAGGGGCGACGCGCGGCTCGGCAGGGCGGCGCGCGGGCTGCAGAGGCAGCGCCCACGGGCTGCAGGGGCGAACGCGCGGGCTGCAGGGGCAGCACGCGGGCCACAGGGGCAGGCACGGCTGCAGGGGCAGCATGAACGCAGGGGCAGGCACGGCTGCAGGGGCAGCACGGTCGCAGGGGCAGGCACGGCTGCAGGGGCAGCACGGTCGCAGGGGCGAGTACGGCTGCAGGGGCAGCGCGGTCGCAGGGGCAGCACGCGGGCTGCAAGGGCAGCGCGGCTGCAGGGGCAGCGTAGGAAGAAAAAATTACGGTTAGGGCAGGGCGGAACGTTCGGTGGGCCCTAGGAACGATTCTGCTCTAATACCATGTTAGAAAAAGGAGGAATGAATGATTGAACTAGGCAAGAGGTGAGTACAAGTAGAGGAAACCTAACCCTAAAGTGTTGTACTCACTAAGGAGTGACCCTACTGTAGCCTAGAGATACAATTGTAATCTGACATGTAGAGCTTTCCGCATTATCAATGCGCAGATGATGTGCACGAACCGATCACAACAGGCACGATTGATGCTGATGCCTGCGAAGTGCTGACATTTCGCATAGCGATAACGTAGACGCGCATAATTCTGGCATTTTGCGGAATTTCAAGCTGGTTGCCCTATTGGTTGCGAATGTCTCAGGTGTAGTTGGGCGAAGGGGGTTTTTCTTAGACGGTGTCGCAGGCAAAACCAAAATCTTGATTCTGTAACATCCAACCCATCACGCAGGGGCGATCGTTACAACCGCGTGGGCGCATCGTTTCGCCAAACGATCCGCCCAATCGATTCTGCGGATCGATATACACGCGCGATCCTGCGATATTCACACTTTCAACGCGTTCTTAGGGTTTTCTCTACTCTGAGTGCACTCTCCAAGTGTAGAACCCTGCACCTTCCCGTCCCAAACGAAATCTTTGTACCATTGTGCTAACTCTATCCGTTAAATGGTACATTACTTAGTTTCATACTGTTGACTTTTTCTTCCGCGTGACTCACCATCTGACGCTGGCAAACAAGGGGGGTTCGCTCAGGGCGCCTGTACCCTGTACAGAGGAAATGGTAACTCCTGAAAATTACACTGAGGCATCAGAGTCCCTTACAAGATTACTCTGACAAATCAGAGAAAAAGCAACTCCCAAAAAAATTACCCAGCAAGTACAGAGTACCCTATAAAAAACCACCCTGATTTTCCGAGAAACAGAGTAATTTACTCTGATAAAATAAGCCCTGATCGGGTCTGACACTTATATCCACGGTACACTATTCGGTAAACTGGAAAGCGTACGATTTGAAATGGCTTGAATCTTAGGTGCATGTTCTGAGCCGTTGAAGAACCCAACGAGTGCCTCGTCAGTCAAACATAAAAAAACGTTGGAAATTCTTACAAGCTAAAATGTAATACGGTATCTGTGCTGAATTGTTAATGAACATGGACAAAGATTGACCTAAGAATATTCCCTGCTCATCCTGCTTTCCACATTCTGGTGGTTCCCCCATTTCGCAGCCAGTTCATAACTGGTGCTAGCATAGATTATGGGTGGATTAGGAGGGAAGGTGTGCCTATTGCAGCGAGTTGAGGAAGAGGATGACGACGACAATGACACTGTTGTCGGAGAGTCGCAGAGCAGGCTCGGGGAAAAAGGCACACTCAGTTCTGCGATGCTGCCCTTGTGGTTCACATCAGACCTGAGGGCCTCTTGAGAGGGAAATGCGCGGTCGTCGGAGGTGGGCCTATTGCAGCGAGTTGAGGAAGAGGATGGTGACGACAATGACGCCGATGATGATGGGAATGATGCTGATGCCGTACAGCACACTGTAGCCCTGCACAGACCTCATGCCAAGTGGTGGTTGGTACATGGCAAATGGGAGTGAAGAGAAGAGATGCATGTCAGAATCGGGAAAGAGTGGAGGTGTTCAATTGGCGGGCTGTTGCAATCAACAGTGAGACTTAAAATGGTGCTGACACAGCGAGCCATGCCGCTGTTGAGAGTGAGAGTGAGTAGCAGTGGAGCCAAGGCTTGAACAGGGCAGGATGAGGGGCAGAGTGACAAGCGCAGAGCAGAGAGAGAGATAAAAGCACAGAGAGAGCACGCACCACCCAGGAAGGCACTTTGCTGCTGAGGTCCTTCTCCTCCTCCGCCTGCTTCTCCGCCGCCTTCTCCACTCGCTCCACCACCGCGTCCCATTGGCTCGCAGACGACCCGCCACCGCCTGCTGACGTGGCGGACGCTGAGTAGGCGGTGGGAGTGCGGTTGGCCTGAGCGCCGCCCTGCAGCCCCACGTCGGTGATCTGTGCATAGGGGGATGTGCGCTGGCCACCGGGCCCCACTGCCTCCTCGGGGGTTGCCTCCTCCTGGCCGGGAAAGGGTCGTGGGGGAAGAGAGGTGGGGAGACGGGGGGTGGGGGGGTTGGAGGGGGGGTAGGAGAGTGGGGTGAGGGAGAGGCGTAAGGAAGGGGTGTGGGGAAGAGGGGACGAGCGCAGGCTGCCTGCCCCCACTGCCTCCTCGGGGGCTGGCACTTCCTGCCAGGGGCAGGGCGGGCGCAGCGGGAGAGAAAGGCAGGGGAGAGAGGATGTGAGGTTGGCCTGTGCGCCGCCCTGCAGCCCCACGTCGGTGATCTGCGCGTAGGGGGATGTGCGCTGGCCCCCTGCCCCCACTGCATCCTCAGGGCCTGGCTCCTCCTGGCAGGCGGAGGGTCGTGGGGGAAGGTGGTGGAGAAAGGGAGGAAAGAGGCAGGGGGTAGGAGAGGGGGGTGAGGGAGTGGCGTAAGCAAGGGGTGTGTGTGGTAGCGAGGGGTGGGGGAGAGGGAGGGAAGAGGGGTGGGGTGGGGGAGAGGCGTGGGGGAAGGGGGGCGCCGCCCTGCAGCCCCACGTCGGTGATCTGCGAGTAGGGAGACGTGCGCTGGCCCCCTGCCCCCACTGCATCCTCAGGGCCTGGCTCCTCCTGGCAGGGGCAGGAGCAGGGGCAGGGTGGGGGAAAGGGGAAAGAGGGAGAAGAGAGAGGGGGGTCGGGGAGAGGCATGGAGGAGGGCGATGGGGAGGGAGGCGTGGGGGTGAGGGATGCGGAGAGGAATGCAGTAGAGGTGTGGGAAAGAGGAGGGAGAGAGGGGTGGGAGAGATGGGTGGGAGAGGTGGGTGGGAGAGAGGAATGCGTAGGGGGACGTGTGCTGGCCACCGGATCCCACCGCCTCCTCGGGGGCTGGCTCCTCCTGGCCGGGGGAGGGCATGGGGAGGGGAGAGGTGGAGGAGAGGGTTGGAAGTCGCGTGGGGAAAAGGGGGTGTAGGAGAGAGGGGAGAGAGACAGCCATAAGGGAGGGGTGTGGGGGAGAGGGGACGTGCGCTGGCCACCTGCCCCCACTGCCTCCTTGGGGGCTGGTTGGCTCCTCCTGGCCGGGGCAGGGGCAGGGTTGGGGGTTGGTGGGAGACGGGGAGGTGAGGGCAGAGAGAGGGGTGGCGGAGTGGAGTACGGGAGGGGTGTGGGGGAGAGGGGACGTGCGCTGGCCGCTGGGTCCCACTGCCTCCTCAGGTGCTGGCTCTTACCTGGCAGGGGGAGGTTGGGGGGGAGAGGGGTGGAGTGGAGGAGTGGCGTGAGGGAAAGGCGTGGTGGAGAGGTGTGAGGAGCAGAGGTTGGGCGAAGGAGGTTGAGAGGGATGAGGGAGCGGTGTGGAGGAGATGGGTGGGGGGATGGGGGCTAGGGGAGAGGGGTCAGGGAGAGGCGTGTGGGAGGGGGTTAGGGGAGATGCATGGGAAGACAAGTGGAGAAGAGGGGTGAAGCCTTGCCCTCACACAAAACAGAGGAGACAAACCCCACTTTCTTGAAGCCTTGCCACTTGTCGCTTCTTGAACCTCACCTCTTTCTGAAGCCTTGCCACTTTAATTTCCCCATCGCCCTTTGAACCCCACATCGCCTCTTAACCCTTCATATCCCCCGGATCCCCTCGTTCCCTGCCCTCGCTCACCCGCAGGCACGGCCAGTCGCGCATGTCCTGCGCCATCACCTTTTCCCACGCGCCACCCCTAATCCCCTCTTCCCCTCCTTCCCTCCTCCCCTCCCCCCACATTCACTCACCCGCAGGCGCGGCCAGTCGCGCATGTCCTGCGCCAGCTTGCGCAGCACCATGCGGTCTGCTGGTACCCGGTCCTCACACACCTGGAGAAGATGGAGGGGAGGGGATTGGGGGCATGGAGGGTAAATTGGGGATGGGGAGGGGGGAAGACTTCTCAATACCAGCTTGCGCAGCACCATGCGATCTGCTGGTACCCGGTCCTCTCACACCTGGGGGGGGGGGGGAGGGAGGGGGGGGGGAGTTGTGAGGAGAGAGGGAGGAGGGGAAAAGGGTGAGGGGGGCGTCTTGAACCAGCTTGCGCAGCACCATGCGGTCTGCTGGCATGCGGTCCTCACACACAACTGCAAGGGTGGAGGGAGACGCGGAGGGAAACGGGCACAGAGGGGAGAGGGCGCGGATGGGCAGGGAGGGGAGAGGGCGGGGATGTTTCAGACGCCTGCGCTTGCGCAGTGAGACGGGTGGAGCAGCGAGGAGTGGAGCAGTGAGAGGGGTGGAGCAGTGTGGAGTGGAACAGTGAGAGGGGTGGAGCAGTGAGAGGGGTGGAGCAGTGAGAGGGGTGGAGCAGTGAGAGGGGTGGAGCAGTGAGAGGGGTGGAGCAGTGAGAGGGGTGGAGCAGTGAGGAGTGGAGCAGTGAGAGGGGTGGGGACTTGACGAGCAGAATACAGCAGTTGAGCATTTCCCCCACCCAATCGCCCACACTATCGCCAACCACACTTCCCCTCCCCTTCCCCACCTCTCCGGCCCTCTCGCCCCCATCCTGCCCCCCTCACACTCCTCGCCAACCAAGCCCCACATCTCCCCTCCCCCGTCCCGCGCCCCCACCTCTCCCCTCCCCCGTGCGCACATCTCCCCTCCCCCGCCCCCGCCTCCCCCATCTCCCCTGCGCGCACCTCAAGGAATGCGTCAGCGATTTCGTCGCGGGAGCACCCGCTTTCGTTCTCGATGCCCTTCCCCACCCCGCTCCCCGCCTCTTTCCCCCCTCTTCCGCCCTCTCCCTTCCCCCGCTCCTCTCGTCCCTCCCCTGCGCGCACCTCAAGGAAGGCATCGGCAATCTCGTCGCGCGAGCACCCGCTCTCGTTCTCGATGCCCATCTGCCGCCGCCGCTCCGCCTCGCGCGGGTCCTCGATCATCAGCACCAGCCGGATCTAAGCATTGGCATGGGTGAGGGGTGTAGAGGGGCGTAGAGGGGTGGGGCACAACGGGACACATCGGGTCCTCAATCATCAGCACCAGCCGAATCTGCGCATTGGCGCGCAGTGAGGTGAGTGGGGTGAGACGAGGTGAATTGAGGTGAGGGGACGTTAGTGAATCGGGTCCTCGATTGGCGCGCGTGACGTCGCATCGGCGCGCGTCTCGTCACATTGGCGCGGGCGGCAGGCGCGGAGAGATTGGCGCGCGGCAGAAGGGGAGGGGGCAGCGAAATGAGGCCAGCAGGGAGGTGAGCGAAGCGCGCGAACGACGGCGGGCGCTGACGGTCAAGGACGGACAGCCATGGATAACGACGGAAATAGACAGACACTGGCGGACAATGACGGACAAAACCAGACAACGACGGCGACAGGGAGCGTGCAGTGAGGGCGCACGCACAATGCGAATCAATTCTGAAATCTGTCAAAACTGCTGGTCGCATACGCAGTGTACATGGGTGAACGCACACGGATAACGCACCTCCTGCACCGTCATGTCGCGACGCTCTTTGAGCAACTCGATGGTCTGCACACGCACACGCACACGCACACGCACACGCACAGCACACGCACAGTCATGGATAGGAATTAGGCTCGAGGCACGCAGCACGCAGCACGCACATTAGCGGATGCGAATCAGAATGGCAACGGTACGAAATGGGCAGCTACACCACTTGGCAAGGGTCGTAAATGTCGCATTTTGCGAACGTTGCGAACGTCGCGAATGTCGTGAGCGCTCTATGCGAGCGCAAATCACCTCGAGGATGTCCTGAATGTCGCTCAGGTCCTGCGCCTCCTCCGCCGACAGCTGCGCCTCCCCATCCTTCCCCTCCGCCGCCGCCGCCGCCGCTGCCCGCACGGACCGCCTAGACCCGGGACCTGGTTGTCGCAAGGAAACAGCTTGCTGCGATTGGCGGCGGCATCGGACGGTTAGTGATCGCCCGGATGAGAAAGAGACGACACGCGACGGGCGGGATGCGGCACGCCGGTGAGCGAACGACGTCGACGCGTGTGGGGCGTGCCGCACGGCGATGGACGTCGCCATTTGGGACGGACGATCTAACGGACAAAAAGAACTTTCTGGTCACTTGAAATTACAAGGAAATCCAAGAAGCAAACATCCACACGCGGGCAATCGGAAAGGGAATTGCGCAAGGATAAGGTACGCGTCTAAAGCTTCTCCTCTTGACAAAACGTATCTGTCGCCACGGATCGATTCCGCCGTTAAATGCACCTTTTGATTGGATGCACGAAATTTGTGAAGTTCCCAACTGCACCGCATCCTCGAAAACCTCCGTGCGGTTTCCTAACCTCCGTTACGAACCTCCCAACAAAACTTGCCTTGTGGGGGACGGGCCTTGGTGCTGCTTCTGCTGCGCTCCCATCCCATTCCACTGTCCGCTAGTTCCCAGACCTAGGTTTTGGTTAGCGAAGCAAGACAAACTTTGGTTGGGAGATAACCACAGCAGGTTTGGCGGGAGGGCTGGTGCGGAAAATAATGATTGGCGCAGGAAAGGCTAGGCAACCCAAGCAAACCCCAGGGAGTGTCGTCTTGATAGATCAGGACCCTTCCTCTCCACCATTATTAGAGCGTGTTCGTTATTTTGGGGCCTGGTTGAGGTTGCCTCGAACGGTCGGTTTGGGTTGAACGTAGGGTTACCAGATAACCCGAGCGTGTACAGTGTACAGTAAAGGAAGTGTGTACCAGGGCACTCTCACACTCGGTCGAGGAGACCAGGTAGTCAAGCAACCAGTTGGTCCCGCCCACACACAACCAGGTCGAGGCAACCAACACGCAACCGTACCCACCTGCTGCGCAACCGTTGGTACACGAAAACATTGTGGGCAGGTTGCATTATCTAGACTCGACGTGACCGGCGCAAGAAAAAAAATATCTAATATAGGCCACTGAAATTGACGCAGTGACTGTTGGGTCTGCCCCAAATACTATTCGCGTGGTTGGGGTCCGAAAACAAGCGGGTGGTATAATTGCATGTTGCCTGCTGGGTACCCAACCGTCCACTGGTCGACCCGACCAGTCAGGTCGGGTCGACTTTTACAGGCAACCGGGCCCTGCCACCAAATTAAGGGGTACGTAACACGCTCTTAGGAGGAATGAATGCCCCGTGTAAGGATTTTTTCAGCATTCCTTATCGTGTTCTTCAACGTCGCGTACAGGAGCAGCCGTTACTCGTCCGTTACTGCTAACGGGGCTTCGCCAACTTCGAGCGCACTGTTTTACCAAACCATGCACCGCTTGCCTGGTCGAGTCGGCCTACGCTTCGGGACTAGCCCGAACCTCGATGCCAGCCTAGCACTAGCTAGCTCGCACGCACCGCGTAACCGTTGCATGTTTTCGCACATAAGTATTCGCTCATGCCTTCGCTCATACTTTGTACTCGTTTGACACCTAGTGCAATCCTTGATATCTCGTTCCATTGCACCCGTAACAGTTGGTATTCAGAGCCACTTTCTTTCGGACCGCGCATCTCCGCACACAGAGAAATCAACTTTTGATTTTTGCACTCGACGGAACTCACGCCCCTTAGCGCCTAGGAGCCGCTGTCCTGGCGTTCTCTCATAAACGCGTGCAGCCACGACTGCGCCCAGAGCTAAGCTGAGCCGCCGTCCTTCGAAATGGCCGAGCACGTCGACGTCACGACGCTCACGCAGGAGCGCCTAAACGAACTGCTGCAGCAGCTACGCGAAAGCTCTGAAGAAATCGCGGCGCTGACAGGTCACGGAGACCGAAACTGCCACTGGACAGATGTTTACCTGAAATTGACGCACGACTGGTCGACGGCACGCCACTGGCGATACGGGAACGTGTTGACCGAGTTCGGATCCGATGCAGGGGTAACTTCACATTTACCCAGGAAATGCTCGCAACGACACTCGACGGGACCGACATTTTACTCGGCCATGATTGGCTGCGACGACACAATCCACGAATCGACTGGATGACGGGTGATTGCACCGTGCGAGTGAACGGTAACAACATCGCCTTGCCTCGCTAGAGCTCGCCTGAGTCTTCGTCGGTGCGTGTCAACGCAATCACGATGAAATGTGACGTAGCGGCAGGAGCTGACGTGAATGCGGTTGACATTCGGGAAGCCGAGGCAGCAGACAAACCGAGCGATTTACAGAAACTGCTTGCCGACGTACCGGATGACTTGGCATCGCTACTGAAGCAGTACACTGGGATTTTTCCGGATGACCTACCGGAGGGACTGCCACCTTAGCGACCCCACGACCACAGGATAGAGCTAGAACCGGGGGGACATCCGACAGTACAGCGACAGTTCCGATTGACCCAACCCGAACTGGATGAACTACGGAAGCAGCTGGATTACCTGCTTGAGAAAAAATTCATTCGCCCGAGTTCGTCGCCCTTCGCCGCACCGATAATGTTCACACCGAAAAAAGACGGGGGATTTCGCATGTGCATAGATTGCCGCGCACTGAACCGAGTTACCATCAAGTCCCGTTACCCCATCGCGCGAGCCGACGAACTGATCGACCAACTCCGCACAGCCTGGGTCTTCTCGGAAATTGACCTTGGAAGAGGTTACCACCAGATCCGCGTCAATCCGCCCGACTGCCCGAAAACCGCCTTCCGAACCTGCTACGGATCTTTTGAATACACAGTAATGCCCTTCGGACTGACCAGCGCCCCTGCGAATTTCCAAATGACCATGAACGAAGCATTCCGCCTGCTTTTAGATAAGTGCGTAATTCTACTTAGACGACATACTAATCTACTGCCCAGACAGAGCACATCACCTACAGGACATCGAAGCAGCTTTTAAAATACTAAGTGAGAACCGCCTACTGACAAACACACCTAAGTGTGAGTTTCTACAGGACCGACTGGAGTTTTTAGGGCACGTTATTTCAGCCAACGGAGTGGAAATAGACCAAAAAAAGATCGCGACGATTCAAGCATGGCACGCGCCGACCAACTTGACCGAGTTGCAGAGTTTTCTGGGGTTCGTCAACTACTTGCGACGGTTCGTCCCCGACATGGCGCAGTTGACGGCCCCGTTGACCGACCTGCTGAGGAAGGGGGTTGAGTACACGTGGGGGGAGAAAGAGCAAGCTGCCTTCTCGGCCCTCAAAATCATTTTGTGCTCACAGCCCGTGCTTCACATCGCAGATCCCCACCGTCCGTTCGAGTACTATGGGAGCAGTACTGTTGCAGGACTTCGGGAACGGCCTCCAGCCTATCGCGTACGAGTCTCGCAAACTTCACCCGCCCTAGCGCAACTACCCGATATACGACCGCGCGATGCTGGCGATCGTGCACGCGTTCAAAGTGGGGCGGTGCTACCTGGCAGGAGCCGACGTGACAGTACGGACAGACCATTGAGAAAAGGAGAAAGCGAATGAATGAACTATGAATGAAGTGAGTACATATAGGAAACCCTAATTGGGTTGTACCCCCTATGGGATACCCCACTATAGCCTACACAACAGCATAAGCTATATATATGTTCTGACACACCCCCATAGGCAAAGTGGGGGAGAACAAGGGGTCACAAGACCAGTCACGCAAAGCACAGCAAGCTCAGGGTGGATCACAAAGTCACCACACAGTCCGAGCACAACGACAAGGCCACAAGGCCAGTTCACATGCAGGAGTGCACACATATACATACAGAGCTAGACAAGCAAGAGCAGGTATATATATGTGACAGTACAAGCAAGGTCAAGAGGAGAGCAAGTGAGGCAAGACAGGTACAAGACCCAGCTGAGTGCAGAAGCGCTGATGGTCACAAGGCGCAAGTGCCTTGGTGAACACATCAGCAGTGTTGGCCTCAGAGGCCACGTACGCAAGTCGCAACTGACCACGCTGCTGCAGCTCACGAGCAAGAAAGTAACGGAGAGCAATGTGCTTCGTTCTGTGCTCCAAGCGCTGCTCTCGACACAAGGCCAGCATGGCCTTGTTGTCTACGTACAGCACTGGAGGAGAACGAGGCGGCTCTCCAAGGTCAGTCAGCAGGTAGGTGAGCCAGCGAAGCTCCTGTGCAGCCATGGCCCCGGCGTAGATCTCAGCCTCACAACTGGAGCCGAGAACAGAGGACGAGCGTGTAGCCCGCCACGAGACAGAGCCGGAACCAAGACTGAAGGTGTAACCCTGCGACGACCGCTGCGTAGCCTGGTCGTCAGCCCAAGAAGCGTCCGCGTGCCCAGTGAGGACCACTGGACTCCGCCCTCCAAGCACTAGCCCCATGCCCGACGTACTGCACAAGTAGCGCAACACCCTCTTCGCTGCAGCCATGTGCTCTGGTCGGTGTCTCCCAGGAGCAACATAGCGTGCAAGAATGCTAAGAGGGTATGCAAGGTCAGGTCGTGTGCAGGTCATCAGGTACATGAGGCAACCAACAAGCTCTGGGTACGGGCCACTCGACTCTACGGACTCATCCGAAGGCAGAGCTGAGAGCGAGTGGCGAGTAGACAGAGGAGTGGCTTGAGGCGACGAGTACGTGAAGCCGAAGCGCTGAAGGACCTGCTGCACCATGTGTGACTGAGTCAAGGTAATGGTGCGGCGTGCTCTGTCCCGAGTGATCTGCAAGCCAAGGTAGCTGCGCAGTTCACCCAGGTCTGTGCACGTGTGTCTCTTCTGCAGCTCGGACTTCACGTAGGCTAGTCCAGCAGTGTCAGCTGTGGCAAAGACCAAGTCGTCGACGTACACGAGGATGTAGAACGGCGGCAAAGAAGTGTCGGTGCGCAGAAACAACGACGGGTCAGCAGTAGAGGGAGCAAACCCAAGAGCCGCAAGCGTAGTCCTCAGTGTGTCGTGCCACTCACGCGGTGCCTGGCGGAGACCGTAGACTGGCCGTCGGAGGCTCCACTGGGTGCCAGGAGGGAAAGTCCCAGTGAAGCCAGGTGGACGGCGCAGCCAGATCTCCTCGTGCAGGCTACCCTGCAAGAAAGCAGTACTGAAGTCAAGAGAGTGGAGCTCGTAGTCGCGCTGAGCGGCTATGTGCAGTAGCACCCGAAGAGTGGTCATCTTCGGGGTGGGAGAGAAGGTCTGAAAGTAGT